ACCCGGATCCACGCATTAGCACCGTCAGACACTCTGTGTCACCACGCAAGCTCGCACGGCCAGAAAGGTTCCGAGCTCACGGCGGCTCGCCGAAAAAGCCAGCACTACCTGGGACCGTCCGGAAGGTCTACTTCCACGGATCCGGCCCTGGAAGGGAACCACGACGCGAAAATAACAATAATGCATACAGACACGACACACACACACACCTTTTGTACTCACAATAAAAATGTTCTTATCTTTCTAACAGAGTACAATTCTTGTGTGTACCTTCCTACTGCGAGCGCGATTATACTATAAAGCTAAGATCTTGTGAACGCGAAGCTAACGCAATCACAATTGTAAATACAATCCACCACGATATCGTTACAGCGCATTGCCATCACCAGTTCCCGTATGATCGTTGAGGTTAGGTATTGAATATCGCATAGTCATCCCAATAAACAAACATAAAATTTCTGTTGAGATAACAATAGAATCCCCAATTCAATTCTCAATTGAATTCTCAATTGAATTCTCAAATGCCGTTCATTTATTTGTAAAAATCGCATGGATTCTCGATCCTGTGTCACATGGCATCCATCTTTAAATGACTATGCGCTTTTCAGTACCTAACCTCAACGGTACCCTAACCTAGACCGCGTTCCGTTTCACGCATATGCGCGCATTTATCTATAGTTCGTGTCACGTATATTGTAGGCAATGCGCGCATAATGCGTGAAACAGAACGCAACCCTAATGAACAGAATCTCTGAAATCGACGCATTAGCCATCTTTAAGATATCATTAAGATATCATCAAGGGTGGCCGCGATGGATTTCGTGTAAGACGCGTAGCATAGACCTTACGGTGGGTCGGATGGTCACAGGTATCAACTATAAGTTCGCACGTATAGAAACAATGTAATGAATAACGACTTACCCGCGGTCGTCCACTGCGCAGTTGCTCTCTATATCCATGGACGCTCTCGTGGCCTATGTGGATCGTCACCTTCTGGATCTCTAGATGAAAGTAACAAAATGGCTAAGATGAATTGTTCAGCAAATTAAAGGATTATGCTCTAGAATAAGACGCTCGCAAAATGTTTAGAAATGTTCAAGGATAATCTAAAGTTAATTGCTTAAGAGTTAGGGAAAACTACGATTTAGAATTAGTGATTTAGAGAAAAGGGATTTAGAGGTAAGGATTATTTCTGGGCTTCCCAATAAACACAAAGTAACAGTAACATAACATCAATGTTACAATTTCCTACTCAACAATGACCCGACTCTCACTAACTGCCTTACCGGTCACTACTCTACTACTGAGCTCTTGTGATCCTGTTTTTAGAAGGGAGGCCTGAACGATACTGATGCCTTCCTTTTCGTACCTGGAGTGTCGTAGCTGCTTTTATACATAGATCGGTATTCAAAGAATACGTTCGGGCACGCTACTAACGCTACCGTGTTCTTCTATCTTTAATGCTTCTTAAGCCCGTATTAGACTACCTACTGCACCGGCCGACCCGACTGCCGACTACGACTGCCGACTACGACTGCCGACTCTCAATGGACCAATCACAGTGAGGCACTGACTCGGCACCTCACTATGATTGGTCCATTGAGAGTCGGCAGTCGTAGTCGGCAGTCGGGTTGGCCGGTGCAGTCGGTAGTCTAATACGGGCTTTAGATATACAACAAGGATAGAATGATACAGTAGCGCTGAGTAGCGCTGACAGCGAGCTCCCCGAACGCACCTATAGTCAGATCTTATATCTAAGACCATCTTAAGTTCATCTTCAGATACTGTACGGATCATTTCATTGGCTACGGAGTATCTGGAGATAAAAGGCGAGTTTTTTAATTCATCGATAGATTCATCGCATATGCGAAAATACAGCGTTTCACTGCATTTGTATATCATGCGATGGATTCATCGATGAATTAAAAAATTCGCCCAAACTTAGGACGGCCTTAAATATAAGATCCAACTATAAATACCGGTTATAGACGATAGACACAAACACCTCTACCAACATGCCGCGACGATGTATCCTTTTACCTCTTATAGCTTCTGCACACAGGACGCGGTAATGCTTGCTGCGCGGCGGAAGTTCGCGCGACAGCCAATCAATATGCTGCTTTCCGTAATAATCTTCTAGCTATTACGGAAAAACAACATATTGATTGGCTGTCGCGCGGCAAGCATTACCGCGTCCTGTGTGCTGGAGTAAGAGGAAATTCTTAAGCCCGTATCAAACTATAGATTAAGATTAAGATTGAATTGAAATTTAGCCAATCAGAGCAAAATTCACTAAGGTCAAGTTTTGTGAACTTTGCTCTGATTGGCTAATTTTCAATTCAATCTCAATCTTAATCCGTTGTCTGATACGGGCTTTAGCGAAACGGAACGTGCGCACCAATCACAATTACTTTAGTCTTTTCGTGAATAAAATGGAGTAACTGTGATTGGTGTGCGCATTCCGTTCCGCTAAGAATTTCTGCCTAATGGCACACCGGCTTTATGTAGGATTCACACCGCGTCCGATGTCCGACGTATGATGTCTGATATTCAATAGGAGAACAGCTTTTCAATGGAAAATTGGATTCTCTATTAGAAAGCTGTTCTCCTATTGGATATCAGACGTCGTATATCGGACATTGGACGCGGTGTGAATCCTGCATTAGACTTTACAGCCAATGACGTATATACATAGATCAAGCATTCTGTACACAAATACATGAATATACCGATATTCATAGTCGAATCTTATTTCAAGACCGTTTGAAGTAATGTCTTAAAATGCGAATACGGCTCTGTGATTGGTTCATGACATCTTAAGACTTAAGTTAAATCTTAATATTTAAGATGATCTTAAATATAAGATCGGACTATGAATACCGGCCAAAGTGAAGCCGGAAGTTGGCAGTTTAAAATAGAGTGAGAAAGTTGATTTGCCCCTAGTGCTTTCTCACTTTATATTATTGACTGTCAAAAAGTAGGGCCTGTTTAATACTGCAAATACTTTAAAACAATGTAATTGATCTATTCGTAGTTCTTATGAAGCACTTATAACACTACATGAAACTGTTTACAGCACTAAACTTTCAAGAACTGCATTCCGTCATAGCAATCTAACCTAACCTTTTTCATTTGACAGTGGAATGAGAACAGAATAAGAGAAATTGCTATGATTATTTATACACAGCATAAAATATTATAAATATCAATTTTATATCGAGATAAGTGAAATATACGGTTTTATTTTTTAATTCTGCAGTGCGCGCGCGCCGTTATATATAGCACTTAACAGCTTGACAGCGGCCATATTCTTTTTATACGATAGAATAAGAAAACACTAGGGACAAATCAACTTTCTCACTTTGTTTTAAACTGCCAACTTCCGGCTTCATTCGCTGCTACAACAGAAGTATAGGAATGCTTGGTTTATGTATATACGTCGTTGTTCACAGCCCTTTGTCTATAATCGCCTTTTTCATTCCGTCCATGTATTCTTATGTCCATGGTTAACACACAATCTACCTTCTGAATATTGAACATAAATAGAATGATATTCGTGTCGCGACGTAATCATTAAGAAAAACATAGCCGAAAATCTGTTTTTTTAGCTGAATTAGCGTTGCACTCTGTCACACTTTCTGCACTTAAAATAAAATAAAATGAAATTTACTTTACTGGTAGAATAAAAGCGAAAGAGATGCTAAATAATATAGAAACTTTAATCAAAACATAAGAACTTAAGATCTACAAGCCTTGCAAAGAAAATAATAAATACGCATCATCTAACTGAAGAATTTCTCCTAATAAAGTAATAAGGTAATAATAAATTTTGAAACATTCGAGACCTTTCTAAATCACAGACATCAATAGACTCAATCTTAATTATAAGCAAAATAGTAGATAGATGAATAGGGATTGTTCATAACTTTGCTAACATGTCGAAACGTGCGCCGTGTGAACCACGTTTGTCATTCGCGATCGTTCAGCGACGTCGGCTGCTTCGGGAAGGTTCGGCGACGCCGGACCAATCGGGCGGCTCCGTGGGCGCACGGTCGTTGCAGTTGATAAATGGAGGATTCGTGATTGTCAAGGTAGTTTTGTTTACGCGGAAATTTTCACTCGGTATCAACTTCTCGCGCGTCCCGTCTGTGCTGAAGAGGTAGATGAAGGTGCGTAATGCCGCGGCGCGCGCGCGCCAACAGACACGACGGCCGACGGTCGTGTCCGTCGGCGAGAAATTGGCCGAACGCGCCGACCTGTCGTCGCGACGGCGTTACGAACCTTTTCGGGTAGAGATGAGCGATTGGTGCTTAAAAGATCGTTCCACTGCTCGGCGAAATTCGCCGTCGATTTAACCTATCGCGTCCGATCCGGAAATCGCGTCCCGCACCGAATGCGGCGAGCCTCCGTCGCGCGCGGTCATGCGAGCGTCGGAAACTCCGCTTGACCCTCATAGGTTATGGCTCCGTACCGTCACTGGTGTGGACGACATAGCCCAAGTCGCGATATCTTTACGCAGCCGCGACTCACCGGAGTTATTCTCTCGCGCTCTTGACGCGACACAATCGGCACCTGCCGCCGCACGGCTCGCCGTTGTTTTACAGTCGCTTTTTTCATTGTCAGTTAGCGCGGCACAAAGTTGACTGCCACTTTGACAGCTGACTTGTTATTGTCGCGTGTGTCAGAGTGCGCGCCGTGCCGGCCGATGCTCTTGTTGACACAACAATAGATGGTCGGCGCGTGACACTCGGATGTTCGAAAACGTGATTGTCGCTTTAATCGAGATACTCTGCCGCAGGATCTAAGATGTCCCGCAATCACAAGGACAAATATGAAAACTCCAACCCACGTCGCACGCACTCGTTTATGTCCACGGAAGATGCGAACTCGGGGAAAAAATCTTATTGGCCGGAGTTGGAGATAACAGGCAGTATAAGAAACTTAAGCCCCAATCTGTGGCAGTTGACCCACCTGACTGCATTGTATCTCAATGACAACAGCCTGCAAAGGATACCATCAGAGATCGGTCGTCTTGTCAACCTGCGTGCTTTAGATCTCAGCAGCAACAAGCTGCGCAGTCTGCCTGCTGAACTGGGGGACCTCATCTACCTCAGGTATGTGAATTAAATGAAATTACACAGTATATCTTGTCTGATTACTTCATGTAAAATCTTTCCTCCATTGTTTCAGGGAGTTGTTATTGAACCAAAATTATCTTCGCGTGTTACCGTATGAACTAGGAAAGTTGTTCCAGTTACAAGTGCTCGGACTACAAGGAAATCCACTCAGCAAAGAAGTGATGGCGTTGTATGGAGAGCCTGCAGGGACAAACAAGCTGCTGACGTATATGTTGGACAACTTACAAGGTAAGTGAAAAAAACTTTATTCACTGAGAGATTGAGTGGTGATATTCTCAAATGTCTCACATTCTCTTTCTCTCTCTCTCATCACTACAATTTGTTTGCACTCTTTTTAATTTTATGTGCAAGTTTGCAAATTGTCTTATTATTTTTAAGTGTTTAGATTAACAATGGAAAATATATAAATTGGAACTTTGGAAACGAAATTTGTTATTTATAACTTTATTTATTGAAATATTGAGATTGGAGGTACTCTTAAATATTTCTTTTCTCTCTAATTTATTTGTGTTCTTTCTAGTTCTACGTAAAAGTCTACAAATTGTCATTTATTTGGTATTTTAAGCTTATGCAATATTGTCTGATATTTCACTTATTTTTCATGTTTGGACCGTCTTCCTTGTATTTGGTTCCGACTATAGGTAAAAGAAGGGGTTCTGGTAATGAAGAATCAGAGTGGCTTATCCTTTAGCGTAGGATAACTCTATAGAATATCAATGACAAATATTCTTCTCCTATCATTGCCCTGACCCATCCCCAATATTCCTCCTCCTTACCACCCTCCACTTCCAATCAGAACCCTTTATAAAAGAAGACACCTCATAGGAAAGCGGCAGTTTCAGGTCGCTCTGCTCTTGGAAGAAATGAACTAAAATGTTCACGAAACGTCAGAACAAAATACAAGGGAGACCCGGAAAACAAGCAAAATATTGTCCACTTATTATTTATAAGCGTTTATGTTGACGATAAAATATATTTAAGTGATCGAGTTGAAATAAAAATTTTGGAAACAAAATTCTTCATTCATAACTTCTTGATAATTTGCAAACTTGAGCTGCAAGATAGCTAAGATAGTTAATCTACAATTGATTAAATAGAAAAGCACAATTGTTTCAATACAAAGTAAAATTACATAGCGTATCAGAAATCAATATTGAATAGTGCTTTCTATTTATATTTGCAGTCGTTTTTTTATTTCCGTTGAAATCGCGTATGGTCGTCGGTAAAAAGACGGACTATTTTATCCACGGACATTTCACGCATTTTCTTTCGGTCCGTCATAATAGGTGGCGCCGTGTGCTCCGTTTAGAGACAGCTGAATAAATGTCAGTTGTTTAGTAACAACAGATCATGCATAGATAACATCGCAATTCCCTACACTTTGATCCATCACAAGTTCATTGTTAAAGAGCACGTTGTAGCATTTTCCCTGGATATCCGGGAGACGTATGACAGCGTGTTATATGATCAGAAAGTTGCAGTTATTAAAACTGCCCCCCTCTTCCCGACTAATATCTTGAATTTTATTTATAATTTAGTCCATCATAGAATCTCATCTATATCAAATTTGATATAATTGATAAAATTAGACGTGTTTATAAAAGCCTTCCTCAAGGCTGTATTTTAAGCCTTTTGCTTTACGTGATGTATGTATTAAATCTTGAAAAAGAAGCCCCGAGTTTAATTAATTTTCAAGTCTAGCAGTGCGGATAAATATCTATCTACTGTGACTAACTTTGCTCGAAAAAAAATTACGCATAATGCGTATAAGAAGCCCCGTACACTGAGAGAAAAAAATATTTAAAAAATAATAAATATTTATTTGATGTGGGTACTAGTAACATATTTAAATCTTCATTCTTTTGTTTAAACAAAATAAATAATTGTTTTTCTGAAAAATGGCGGTTTTGGAGTTGCATTCCAAAACATCCTCTTTGAGTAAAATTTTATCGAAAATATATAGTTTACGTTGCATATAATGTGTTTTCAATAAAATTTTCCTCAAGAAGAGGATGTTTTGAAGTGCTTAAGAAAATATATATTTTCTTATTTAGAATAAATATTTTCTCTAGACACAAAGACATGTATATTAGTACAAATAAAGATGTTATTAGTACTCATCAAATAAATATTTGATTTTTTAAAATATTTTTTCTTTCAGTGTGCGGACCCAGAAGCAAAATAGTTATGTCTAAATGAAAGTATAATTATGCATCAAGTCAGCTTAATCGCGCTTCCGCGAGTGTTAATCTACCTCGACTCCGGCACAGTCGGATGGGTGTGTCCAGGGGTGAGTGGGTGGATGGTCGGTCCCGGGTTTACGTTCCGTGGAAAACGAACGCCCGGGAGAACTACTCGCCGCGGTTACGAACGGCGGGGAGGCTCAGAGGGCGAGAGTGCGAGAGGAGGGAGGGAGAGGACCCCCGCACGGAGGGCGTTTCTATCCATTGTGTTGTGCGATTTTTGCCGGTTACCCGATCGCCTGAAAGGTCTCGGCTCTGTACCATTCCGTTTATCCATTGTTCTCCGACTTTTACTATTCGATATACCGCAACGCCGCACCACCCGTTGCCAGTCATTTCCCGCTACGCCTCCCCCTCCCCGCGGCTCCCTACGCCGCCGCCGCCGTTTCTCCTCCGCATCAGGATGTTCCTGCTCGTCATTCTTTTCCCCGCGCCCCTCGTCTTCAGCGCGTTTCCTCTTCCTCTTCTTCTTCTTCTCCTCCTCGTTTCACACGGGGTCGTTCTCTTATCTGCAATCGCGCGGAAAGCATATCTGTATTTTGTAGCGGAGTACCGCCGTCGAATGCGTCTTGTACACGTCTTCGTCGGGATATTCTTGTTCCAAGTGTTCCTACGAGACAAGAAAGAGAAAGAGAAAACGCGTACCTGTAAAGAGAGAAATAAACGTGAGTCAGAGGGTTCATTTTTATAGGGAGAAGCCTGAGGAAAGACTAAATATCGTACATATGCGTCGAGGCAGATCAGATGAATAAGCAGAATCGAATTTGCTCGGGCGAAAATTGCGGTCTCTTCCCTTTCGTTGACGCTTAACGGGAGTACCCTTCTCGTGCAGGGTTGCGTGTGTAGGGACCACGTTAGCCGCGATACACGTACTGCACACGTCGCATAGTTCGCGGATTGTTGCAGAGAAACTTTCACAGAGTCGTCGCGACTAAGCTCACGAATGCGCGAGAGTGCACGTAATGATTTGTATAGACGCATTTGGCAGCTTGTTGTGGGAGCCGAGGTCCCGGAAACAAATTTATGCGCATTGTATCGAGAGGTCTCGTCACATCGTCGCGACTTCCCAGAAGGTAACGTGACTATGATTGCGCCATAATTGGCCTAAGTGTGCCCATTGTGCTCGTGTCACTCGCGTGTCGCCTACAGGTGTCTCCTCCACTTTGTTGTGTCTCGCGATTTACGTTCGTTGGCTTGCGAAACGTCACGGGCTGGTTTTATTGCATCGAAGTGTATGTGTTCCCGTGCCTCATCCTTCGTTATTCGCTCTTCACTTATAAATATTCCGCGATTTTTATCCTAAAGTTCTTTATCGTAAAATAGCTTCAAGTCCTGAATTCGTCATATTAATAACTATTCTGCATTTTGGGATTTATACTATAAAAACGGATTAAATTAAGCTCCACAAACACACACATATAGAAAAGATTATATATTATTAAATGTCCCTTGCATAAATTCTTTTAAGGTAAATTATATATAACTGAAGTCATTAATAAATTTAATTAATTTTGACTAGGTCCTTAATTATTAACGTTATTCTTTAATTGTTCGGAGAAGATATCTATACATGAGTAATTTAACATTCCAACTTCTTTTTCCGCGCGCGCATTGAGAGAACAGAATGGTTGATCTAATTAAAATTATAGCTCTTTTTGGCCAATATTTTATGATTGTTTTAACACAGAAATGGTAGTAGTAACATATATATGAAGTTATTATCACCAATATTATAACGAAATTTAATGAAGAGAGAAATGGCTTTCTAGATCATAATTTATAATAGTTATTTTTTCATATAATTATAGTTACAAATTCCGACATTTTTTTGTTTTCTCAGTGTGCATCTCTTTTCTTATTTTCTCTTTTATTCATATAATTTCCCGACCACGTGTATTTCCACTGTGCAAATGTGCAAGTTACACTGTAGCAAAAAATATCTAAGAAATAGGAAATAGTTATTTGATGATTAATTCGACTAATATAACATATATATTGTACTTATATCAACATAAAGTATTCATTAAGTAAGAAAATGTATATTTTTCTAAAATTTTAGCTTTTCATGAAAGCAATTGTTTATTCTGTTTAAATGAAAGAATTTAGATTTACGTAAATATATTATTAATAAATATATTAGTGCACTGAATAAATATTTTTTGTTTCTTAGATATTTTTTCTCAGTAGTATGTTTGACAATGTCCGCGTGAGCACGACGCTACCGTTTCTCGGGCTGGAAGGAAACCGGGTCTCGCGCCAGCGGGCCGAGTGAAAGGGGTCCGCGGGCCCGAAAAAGAAAATTGTTACTCGCGCGATTCACTCGACCGGTCCGTCGAGCCATCTCACCCGTGTAATTACACGGGGACCCACTACGGGGCCCCCGTGTAATTGAGGACGAAACCGAGGGGAGAAAGTGAACCGCAGCCGCTTCGCGTACACATCGCGGCATGATTCATTCGTTATTCGGCGCATACGGTGTGTACACACACGCGTGGAGAGGGGCCCGAGACGGAGTCATAACTAGGGCATGACGAAGATGGCACCTGCCACGATTGTAGAAAACTCGTGGCGCCAGTTTCATCGCGGTGCGATAATTCTTCGGTCACTCGACCGCAAGAAGAGCAAATAAATTCACTTGGCGTTTAAATCTTGTTATTTTTTATCCGCCATGTCCGTCTTGAGGACGAGTTGCGAATTTACGTCTTACTTATTCATTAACCCTTTATCTATGATATTTCATTTTATTCACAGGAATTTTGAAAGTGAAAGTGATATACTTGATATTTGGCCACGGTAAATGAATCGAGTTTGCCTCACGATACCTCTAGTTTTATTTAACTATCACGCGCTTACAATTACAATCCGACTTTTGGCTCGCTCGTCGAAACGCGGTTTTGAATTTCGCCTTTCGTCACGGACTCGAAACTATTCTGATTACGACTCCGGAGGTGAACGCGGGCCCTGAATTGTGATTACACGCGCCAC